AAATAAATAAATATTCGTTAAAGGTGTAAGCAGAGGTGATTGAAAATAAAATTTAAATTTGGTTCTGAATTGTGTTTATCGATTTACATTCGAGAATGGTTTCCTTCTTTTTAAAAAAATATGTCACCCTACTCTGGGTTTTTCTCTTATGTCGTGGATGCATTTACTAATCTTAAAAGCACAAACACAAGCCACCCAGCCCCGAAACAACAATTTGTGGATCACACCAAGTGCAGGAATCGATCCAAAACTGTTCAATGCAAACCAGAAGTTGCGAAGATTAGCTCGTCCAAGACGATTAAATACAAAAATGGAATAAAACTGCTCTTAAAGTTATTGACCAACTATCTTTAGCCCGCGTGGTATGTTGATATAAATATATCACCTACCTCCATACCAATTTCAACCAAATCGGCCCAGCCGTTTTTGCTTGAAACAATCACAAACATACATCCATACATTCTCACAGACTTTCACATTTATAATATTAGTAGGATATTTTTATTCAATGCCATCACATATTATTCACATCCACGAACATTGATTAACCTAAGCCATATGCTTTAGGCAATTAATTAATTATTTTAGCTGCCTACGTCATGTACTTACATCACGCGATGTTAATAGTCAAATAAAGTCCTTTGTGCTAGGGACTCTTGTGTAGGATTTATAATATATGAAAAAAAAAACTGTAAAAGAGTTTGTATTTAAAAATTGTGGTTATCCACAGCGATTATGGAGGTGGGTGATAAAAAATTAAATAAAGATTCTAGTCAGAATCAAAGTCTCATTTTTACCATGATGACGATCGAAGCCGCTGACAGAAGCTAATGCAAAATATACTAGTACCTAGTTTGTGCTTCTTCTATGTATGTAATCTACTTATATGTATATTATATCTATTAATTTATTACTATAATACATGCAATGATGATTTACAAGTAAAGTGACGCGATAGAGGTGCGGCGTACCGCGACAAAACGCTGAACGACCGACAGAGTGTCAGGCGTCAGCATTCTAAAGTGCTTATTACTAGTAACTTTTCCTTCCTTGAAAACCAATTCACATTATATTGTGTAGCTGTAAACTTTTTTTATTTTTTTTGGTGGAACAAAAAGTCATAAACCACTCAATTGTATAACAAAGATATGAAACTGATTGAAGAAGAGTAACCAAGGAGTTTCTTACTCATTCTTCTCCATAAGAATCCATACTTTGAAACGTAGAAATGGCTTAACACCCGTAACATCAGGGGATTTGCAAGGGCGTCAGTTTTTTAGGGTATTAGAGGATTGAAGAATTGGGTCTTGGAGCTGGGCAGGGATAAGACTGGGCCTCCGGTAACCACACTAATACGACGAAAAACTACGCTGTAGTTGTTTCACGTCGTGACGGCCGTGGTACCACTCCGGCCCATTCGTACTGAAGCAAGCGTAAGCATACATTTGTAGTTTACGTTACATAATACAACTGTCTGTCAACCTTTACAAGAATTTAAATTTCGAACACGAACGCAACGTTTCACATTTGTATGTATATTAAATGGCCGGCAGTTTGTAGCCAGACCTTTTTAGTTTTTTATTAATTACGATGCGGGCGAAGGGTATGCCGCAGAGCTGGTAAAACTTTGCCGGCTGTGGTTGCTAGAGTTTTAAAACAGGCATTACGTTTTAAGTCTGTCTGTTTATGGTTGTGCGGGTTAAATACGAGGTTAGTTAGTTAAAAACTTTGTGTTTAACACTTCAGTAAAAGCTAGACTAGATTATTATAATCTACTGGATTCTTCGTGAGACATTTTTAATTAATTTATTTTTTCGGCTTACGTAATAATTCGAAGAAAGTGAATCGCAGCAGAGGGCGCGTTGGGCCCGTAGACTCGAGTAGCCAGTAGCAGCGCGACAGTCGCTGCTCATGAATATGGGCCTCTATCATGGCTTGAAACTAGTCGAGTATCTCGTCAAATTATTACGTGAGTAAGCCAAAAATATAATAACTACTGGATCCTTTTTTTAACTGACAAGAGTCTACATCACATCATCATCTATAAGTGCCCTTGTTGAGGAAAGGCTTCTTCTCTCAGAAGAAGGTTTGGGCATTAATCATCATGCTTGCTCAAGGCGGATTAGCTATTTCAATCTTATAATTCGCAATTATAAGTACAGATTTCCTTACGATGTTTTCCTTCACCATATGTCAGTGGTGTCTAATCATTTAAAGTAGGTAGTACACATAACTCGGAAAAAGTCACAGTGGTACTTGCCATATTTCCCCTTTTATCCTTTACAAAGATTTCTCTGGAAATATGGCAAGCATGAGAAGCGAGCGCTTTAACCTCCGGGCCACCACGACAAGGTGTCACTACAAATATAATTTGCAATAAGGGTCTTGAAGAATCGTAAATAATCATATTACATCATTTGCTCTTGAAAGCTGAGCATCGTAATCAGCAAATGTTTTCATCAAAATTTTTTTCAAAATAACTTTGTAATTGATACATTGATCTTCGACCTTGTGACATTCCAGTTACTCTTGTGACAACTGGACCAAACGAGGTACATGCACTACAGAACCACGCTTACAATACAATTCAAATACTACAATGGTTTTTCCTTAACCCATTCATGAAACGTAAATAATCCATCATGAACTAACGCGTGACCATGGAACTATAAAGTACTTGGTTTTTATGAGGTACATACCAAATGAGCAGACGGATTACCAGTAAACAATCTGCGCCCATGGACACCAAAGGAGTTACGAGTGCGTTGGGGAAAAAGCTTTCAGATATTTAAGCATTGGGAAGGGATGGGGAGAGGGGGAGGGATTAGGCCTCCGGTAACACAAACACAACGCTGCGGTTGTTTTAAGCCGGTTTTCTGTGAGGTCGTGGTATCACTCCAGTTGAGCCGACCCATTCGTGCCGAGGCTTGGCTGTCCCACACTTAGTACCTAAACAAACCATCTGTGAATCGCATGTCAGTCAGATCGGTCACAAGAAAAAGATAAATATTCAAATAACACAACATTATCAAAGAACAGCAATTATGTAATTGCATTTTATAATTGCTAATTGACGTTCGTAATAACTGTAACAGTTCAATGTCATTGTAAGAACTGTTTTATCGACTGGGAAAGTCGTTTCAAGATGGCCGATCAAGTCTCGCGCGCTTTTCTCTCGTCTCGGTTTTTCTGGACCCCATTCTGTTAATGGGAAAGTGTTTTTAGTCTTCATTGTTTGGAAATTGACAATTGAACACTTTTGTTGTCCATCTGTCATACAAAGTTGAAAAATTACTGAGAATTTTCTCGTCAATATACCAACACTTCGTTGTAATCTTTGTTATGCTTTTATCATGGTTTCTAATTAGATAATACTCGTTACTTGTCTTTATATTACCCTCCATTTTATTGTTAACTCATGGAGTATTTTCCCTGGAAATGTTTTCATTATAACCGCCATCGTTCCATCACTCAGGACCGCAATTAGTCTAATCGTCATAGCGCCCTTAATTACAAGAAAGAACTTCCATTAAGAAACGTTTCCCACGGAACTACAAATACCCCGAATCCTCCATCCTTGTTGTGACTTCATCAACTCGTAAATTAACACAAACCGCATTAGTTTGAAAATATTAGAAAATTTCACGTAGAATTTACAAACAAACACTTCCGAAACATTAGAGCAATCATTACAACAGTTAAAAGTTAATTCGTCAGCGTTATCCACACATCTTTTATCGCTTTCTATATTGTGAAAAAACATAGTTATATGTTCAGCGTTATAAGCGAGGGGACGGCTACCTTCTATTTTCGGTATCACATTTTCAGTTTCAGTCGGTCCTGCGTACGGCGCGCCGGTCGCCATTCCCCGCGTTCGTTATATCAAAACGCGAATTTGTAAAATTGTAACCGTTTTTTCGCTGATTGGTCGGTTTGGGATCGATATTTAAAAAATGACGGTTGATGTCACACCGACCTCGGTGTCTGGAATCAATATTAAAGTGAGTTCCATTTTTGATCGAGTATTTTGCACATCCTTGCTGATTTAATTTTAAATTGTGGAACTTGACTGTCTACGTGTTATTCATAGGATTTAAGTTAGTCTTGACTAGAATTTGCTATGAATCTCCCTGTGTATGTCATTGACGCTAATTCGCTCCACATTTTATAGAAATTTCCTATATTTTCTTTTCCAATTCCTTTGTTTAGATGGCGACTAAATTTGGATTCTCTACTCAAGATTTTAAGATTCTTTTTGTATTTTGTCGCATTCACATTTTCTTTATCTGTTGTTTTGTTTTAAACGAACCTTAGCGTGTATTTGTCATATTTGGTTAAGATAACAAATGTAGTTTCGACTTAGTTACAGTTAATGTAAGTACTTAAAAGGGCTTTGTTCAAATCCTTTCCCTGATTTTAAGATGGTAGATCAAGGTCATCGATGTAAAATTCTACAATGTGATAAGTACTAAAACTAGTTCGATTGTTTTTTATGGGATGTTTATCATTTAATTTGATGATGTTGACTTCTACTATTCCCCCTTCTTTTCTTCTCCCTTCTAGCAACTGTGCTTTGGTACTATGAAAGGGCTTTTAAAATGAAAGCACCTTGCATCCCTCCAGACTTTTCTAATTAAGAACTATTGTGCTTGGTTCCTTTGTATGTGTTCCAAAGACGTCACTTCACCCTTCATATTCAAGACGTATCAAAGATTTATAGCCTTAATTACAATTCTCGAAGGGTTCATTCTTGTATGAATTAATAAATGTCATTTCGATGTTAAAAGCGAAGAGTTATGAAGTAAGACAGACGGGTCTATTGTTTACAGTTGTCTAAATAATGTGTGTAAAATAATAGATGATATAAATTGATTCATTTCATTGTTATAATTATTGTCTAAGGAGTACATGAATAATCCTTACGCCATGGCAGCATATGACTAACTAATATAAGTAAAAATATTGTCATGTTTTTAATTATTTCATTTTCTTCTTTACAGAGCTCCCAGAATCGGCTGCTGATCAAAAATGGACGTGTCGTCAACGATGACGGCATTGAAGACTTGGACGTCTACATTGAGGACGGCATCATCAAGTAAGTGTTGGACATTATAATAGAATCAGAAAAAAAGATGATGTTTCCGAGAAATGTAAACTCCATACTTGATGTTGAGTAATTTCTGAAAAACCTAAGAAAAAACAAACTACTGCGGAACTTAAAAACATTTTTGGCGAAGAAAAATTTAAAATAGACCTTCTTAGCATAATGATATAACTCAAAAAGCAAGAGCTGGTTTTCCAATCAGAAATAAGTATTTATTGCAATAACACGTTTGAGTCCCACTTGGCTTCGTCAACGCATTACATTGCCAACTGAAACTATTTCAATAATATCATCATAATAACTTTGCGATGATAAACGACTAGCCAGACTCCCCCTATTTTACTCATGAATTAATTAAACTGGCTTCCAATAAATAGTAAGCTTTCAATATCCATTAATCTAATATAATCCTTCATGAATACACACATGCACGTTTACTTGTTGAAGGACTAATAAAGAAGGTCCAAAACTATTTTTTTGGCTGTAAGGGAAAAAATGGTTGGCTTCCAGTATCGTCATCATACGTTCCCTTTTCCAACCTTTGTCAGTCAAGTGCTGTTCTAAAGGTTTCCTTTACTTGAGAGAATTTTCCATAAACTCCAGGCTCGGCAGACGGGATTGAGATGGTAGTTGGCTGTCTTTTTTCTTCTTCACTACCGAAAACCATTTTAGTTTAAAATTCTGTCGCACTTATACGAGTACCCCATGCCTGTCGTTTTCAAACCACTATAAATGGGTTTCCGGGGGGAAAGCAGACATAATCTAATTATATTTATGAGCTTAAACATTTTAGACAGTGACAGGGAACAGGCCTAGCTTACTCACGTCAATTAGTAACCTATTTCCAAAATTAACTCCTTTAGTAGGTTCTGGTTTGAATCTCGATATCCCGAAATGTATATCCTAGACTAGATTGCTTGTTATGACTGAAATATCCGTCTAGTCTTTTTCAAAATCTAGACTTTTTAAATAGAGATTTATCGTCAGATTGGAGAGCTACAAAAATTCTTAGGACAGCTATCACAAAAGTAAGAAATACGTGTAAGATATTTTCTGTTGTGAGTTTTACCGTGTAGATTGGTTGGCTTTCTTTGACAACAAATGCAAAAACCGTGACATTTTGTCCACAGACATGATTAAACTTGGATTTTCACTAAACATCCTAGTTTCAGCCTCACACTCCAGAAGCAATTCAGAAGCGAATTAAATTACTAGGATAGCATCATAGTATGAACTCGAATCGCATTCCCGCAAGCCGGCCACGTATTGATCCGCTAGGGTGTCCCATCTTGTGGGTGGGTGTACACTGCGGATGTATGCGTGTGTACATAGACTATACAGGATGATGGCAATAACCGTCAACAGGCTGTTGCTCTGTAAACGCCTGAAATTGAGACTGAATTAAATTTTCAGTCTAGCTAAGATTTGTATTTGATTGGAAATATTGCCTCATAAGTTGTGTAAAGAATCGATCGAGAACTTTGCTATGCAGTGGATCGTATCTGAAAATTATCCGGTTGTAATGTTATTTTAAATATTCATGGGAATGCAGAAATGCTAGCAGTATTATATTCAAGTCTACTATAGATATTTTTAAAGCTCACAAACATACATTGTGTGATAGCATGCTTAAGGAAAAGAGAAAACTACTATTCCTGATTCTTTCTCACCTACACTGGCGGTGGCAATTTTCCTCCGTCAGGAATTATTAATTAATTTCATTAGCTTACACCGATCCTACGAAATTACTGGTGGTGTTGTGTTCCATCCTAATCTGGCTAATGCGGCAAAACCCATCGCATATCTAGGCATATGATGGTTCTTTTGTTTTACTTCTAGTGTTGTAGATATCCTAGGAGCATTCCTCTCTTACCATCAGGTGTTACGTCGGCTCGTTTACGCCCATGTCTATAAAAATAATTAATTTGAATTAGATAGTATTTATTTTTTTAATAAACCGGCTACTGATACCCTGCCTCTTAACGGTTAAAAATGTATCCACCTCACTGAAAAAATCGATTTATGTAACCCACTTTTTTGTTAAGGGTCTACTAAAAAAAGTTACCCTAATTGAAACCTAATGTTCTTCGGAATCGCAAATGTTGATTATAGGTAATAGGTCGAAATCTAGAACATAGCAATTTGCAGATATTTTTCAGACTAAACATACCTAGTATCGATGTTACGGTATATTTTTTACCTAAATAAAGATTGATTTCGTAATGGTTTAGGGAAGCACTTCATTTTTACTGTTGTGACGATAAAATCCTTATAGCACGACTGGCGTGCCGTGGGGTCACGCGTCAGAAAACTTCTTTTCAGATTTTAATAATATCCTCTTTGCTTAATGAATTGAATCAATGAATTGCCAATGTTAGGTACGCCATTTTTGTCACATGTATAAAGTCATAAATTTGAACTAACTGATCATACATATTATATATGTCTATGCTGAGTTTACCTATAAGTAATTGTTACACTTTTGTAATTCTATCAACTAGCGCGTAAGTTCTTGATTTCTATGAAAATAGGTAATTGTTGGTGAACCTAGTAAAAACATTAGAAGCATAATAGATGCCCGAACGCCGGCGTTCGCTTGGGGTTTGATGAATTTATAGTTTTACATATTTTCAATGTTCAATGTTTGTGATACGGTGACCGGATTGATACCACGGCCTCACAAAATGCTATCATGATATAGCACTTGCGTTGTGTTTCGCCGTGTGGCTGAGATTACCGGAGGCACAATCCATCCACTTGATCCACCATCCTCAACTACTCAATCTCCTCTATGTCCATGGGTGGCGGTGAATGCTTACCATCAGGTGATACCAAAATAAATCTTAATCTTAATCAAAATACATCTTAAAAGCAATTAATCATGAAAATAGGGAAACGTGTGACGTGTCGATGTTAAGTAAAAGTGGCGTATAGTAATCACGATCGTATCAATTTTCACTTTCCTTACTACATATACACATCGACAGCGAACTCGTTTTCTTTGCACGCGAGCGTTATTTCTGATCATAATGAATATAGGTTTATAGATTCATGGTTTTATTTATGGCTTTAAGTTTTTCTATTATGTTATGTAAGAAAATCACGGTGTTTTGATTGTGGAAAGTTTGATTAAGTACTCCGAGTTTTAAGGTATGTTCATCATCATCATCAGCCTACAAGTGTCCACTGCTGAGCAAAGGTCTCTTCTCACACGAAAAAGGCAATAATCACGACATTTGCTCAAGGCGTATTCGTAATTTCAAACTTGTAAGTTTCCTCACGATGTATTCCTTCACCGTATGTCAGTGGTGTCTAAACAATCTTGAAAAGAACACATAACTCGTAAAAATCACATTGGTATTTGCCAAGTTTCGAATCCGCACCCTCATGCATGAGAAGTAGGTGACATAACAGGCAGGGCACCACGACTTCAAGTCGACTACTTAAGGACATTGCTAATAAAATACAGAACTTAGTAAACCAGATAACAAAATTGGCGAAAAGAAAATAATAACCCTTCATTCTACACAAAACATAAACACGGAAAAACAAACAAATATACATTGCACGTTTGTTATTATAACAGTAAAAACAAAACATTACACTACTTTTTTGCCATAAACAGCTATGTCTAGTGTTAGCACTCACGTTACGAAGCAACGTTCGCACACGAAGCGTCTGTAATGATCGTTATGCGCGGGCGCACATAAGCGATCAAGGTACCTTTCTTTAAAAAAATAGCTTTGGATGAGGAAAACCTCGTACAATTTTGTCCACAGAGGTAAATTAGTTTTGGCCGGAGTTGCGCTAGAATAAGGTACCGTGTTTGGTCCAGAGAAGGATAAAGAACGGGGGGGGGGGGGGGGTTAGGGCTTAGTCAGTAAGAGTCATACACTCCCTAGGTAAGAGAAGTCTTTAGATGATTTTCCCCTTACAAAAAGGTGGTAGATTCGTTTACGTGGGACAAATCATTTCAAATTTTTTTCTTTATTTTGATTTCTGCTCTTTAATTGAGGTCTACGCTGTGTTTTATCTAGATTCGGCTGTGTCAATATAAATGATTTTGGACGGCTAACATCACCCAACCAAACCTGAATCCGCCATATATATCACACTATTCCGGTCGCCAGCCATTTTCCCGGCCCTTGCACCATACGATTGCATGATAAACCTGTCATTATGCATTTTTTTTATTGAAAATGATTATGCACGATTTGTTACACGCACAAATGCTTTGAAGAAAGCGCTTTGAGAATAGCCCACCCTTTATTTTCTCAAGCGTGCTGCGTGTCAAGAGGTACTTGATCGATGTTTGTTCAAAGTAATATCGTCACCCCTATATGTATAGCTTTATGGTTGAAAACCGTTATGTTTTTATGCGCAAAAGTAGCCTAGGAATTCTATGGAAGTTTTTTCCATAAGATTAATAGTAAGACCTACTTGTTTATTGTTCTAGACCGTTTTCACTGTTGAATAATACGAATTATATGTATAGACTTTAAAATTACTTAGCTTGAATTTGTTACTAAAAAGCACCATAACAATCTCAAACAGAATCACATGAAAATCATTAAACAAACTGATTAGGAGACAATGGCTAACTCTAAATGAAGAGATCGATAAACAAGATAATTGTAGATAAATCGAAATTAGAAAACCGAACGATCCATTGTTTGCCCACTCGAAGTAACCATATTCCAAAAATAGATCAAAAGTTTCCATTTTCCATTTGACCTCAGTCACGTGGGTCGTTGACGAGTTTGCACGACGCATTCGAACGTAGAATCCCGCCCACATAACATATAGCTGTGTTAAAAACCAGGTCACTAACAGTTCCAGACGGTACACTTACACATTTGCTACGGGTAGACAATACATTGCCACGATGCACAGCGTTGCAGAAAATCTTTGATGCCCCATCCACAAAAACTGGTGTAAGAAAATAATTTTCTACAATTCTATTACGTATGACGTTTCTTTACGGATTCCTA